TTCTTCCTGGGTAATTTTAGTAAATTGAAAATATGCTCTAATACGAAGGTTGCCTGTAATCCAGAGTCAAAAAGAGCACGGGCTTTGAAAAAGTCTTAACTATAAATTATGTTTATGATATCAGTTCCTAATAAAATCATTTAAGGCCCAATTGCACAACATTCTCTTCAAGCTTGATCGTTGAAGAGGATGGTTGCTTTGTATGAGTGCTTGTAATCATTTGAACGGTAGAAGGCTCAATGTCGCGAGTTACTGAAATCTCTTGAGACTGGGAGGTAAAATCGTCTCTACATAGGAGAGTTGTGTGTCTTCGTTGACATTTTAAGCAGTTAAAGGCGCTTTTTACAGTCTTTCGCGTTATGGCCTGTGCCAAAAAAGTTTAAACATAACTTTTATATTTTTTAAATGTGAGGCTTTCTTTTCATGCTTTAGGAATAAGAATTTCGGACAAAGTCTGATAGTATGGACTTGTTGTGGACATTGTTTACACAAAGGCTGTCCTAAGATATTCGGACTGCGTTTACTGTTTTCAATTTAGTTTGGAACTTACGAACTTGGATGGGCTGTCGGAAGGAGTTTAAAGGCTTATGGAACCACATTGCTTGTTTAAGTCAAAAACGGTTTCAAAGGTTTGATACCTACTAGTTAAAAAAGAATCCAGCACCTCTTCTAGTTAGTATCAGTTTTATTTTTCAGTGAATGTTCCCACAAAGAAAGGGTAGATTCAGACAATTTACTACAGCAAAGGTATAAAAAATGGGATCCCAAGTTTATATGTAAATACCATAAATTTGGAGGGAAGAAATTACCCCATTAATGGTATGTTGGAGTTCTTTAATAGAATTAGAGGACTCATTACTGCAATTCTGAATACTAACAAGTTAAAAAGCAGTAAGTTCGGCCGGGCCGAACTTTGAATACCCTCCACCATTTGGAACGAATTTGGAAATTTAAAAAAATATAATCCTTAAAAAATTCTGTTAAATTTTAAAAATACCGAATATTGCCGTTATATTGGGGTCTATACGACATGGACCTACATAGGCATTGTTTGCCATTAGCCATTACCATATTAAAATTCGAAACTTGAAATAAACGGTGAATAATGTGGCGAATTTTGGGAGGTACCGTTATATGGGGGCTATACGAAGACCTGAACCAGCATAGACATATTTCTGTCACAGACTGTAGTTCCCATTACGAACTCTAAATACGTAATTTGAAACAATTCCGGTGAATAATGGCGTTAAAATCATCAAAATACCGAATTTTGGGAGGTACCGTTATATGGGAGCTATACGAAGACCTGGACCTGCACAGACAATTTTCTGTCATAGGCTGTAGTATTCATTACGAATTTCAGACACCAAATTTGAAACAATTTCGATGAATTATGTCGCTAAAATCATCAAAATACCGAATATAGGGAGATACCGTTATATGGGGGCTATACGAAGACGAAGACCTGCCCAGATAATTTTCTGTCATAGGCTGTAGTATCCATATCGAACATCAAATACCAAAATTGAAACAATTCCGGTGAATAATGTCGCTAAAATCATCAAAATACCGAATATCGGGAGGTACCGTTATATGAAAACGTGGACCTACATGGCCCATTTACGAACTTAACCTGCCTACTTGAAAAATAAACAGGTGTGCAAAATTTTAGCCTTCTATCTCAATTCGTTCGAAGGATAGCGTGATTACAACAGACAGACAGACAGACAGACGGACAGACAGACAGACAGACAGACATGGCTAAATCGACTTAGAATTTTACGCTGATCAAGAATATATATACTTTGTTGGGTCTAACATGAGTATTTCGAGGAGTTACAAACGGAATGACAAAGTTAATATACCCTCCATAGTATGGTGGAGGGTATAAAAAGTTAGACTATTTTTGATTTGTATTTATTATGAAAAAAAAAAAAAAACTAAAACCCTTTGTTTGTTTTATTTTATTTTCTTGTTATTTATTGCCTACGTAAACAATGGTCATTCGAGCCGTATCAAAAACAATTGCTGTAAAAACAACAACAACTAATTGATTATTTTGGTCGTTAAAAGCCGAACTGACGCCGTCAGCATCACAAAAATTATAAACGCTGCCCATCATCATCCCTCATCATCATATAATTCATAAAATTTAAAGGTGAGTACCGTCAATATAAAAGTGAGCAAACGCAAGTGTTTTTTTTTTTTTTTTGGTATTATTTAAAAGAAAAATATACCAATGTTTTATACTTTTAAATATGTCCGTCTTACAGCACCGTGGTTACAAACAATTATAGTAATCGAAAAGTGCAGTGAACCCTTTACAATTTTTTGGTGTCATTATATTCTGTTTAAACAATTTACAACTAACAAATATACTGGCTAAACATCAGCACTGCTTGCTTGGTTATTGTTGATTGTTTGGTACAAGCACAAACACATGTATATTATACATAGGGTGTGCGAAAATTTTTTATTAAAAGTTCATTAATTCATATTATTATTATTTATATATTTATTTATTTTTATTTTTATTTTTTTTTTTTTTTGGAAAGCGTTAATCATTTTAAAGTTGGTTAGTAGCGTTACACCATACATTCATCCCTAATAAAAGCGATTTCGAAAAATTTTGAATATATATTCAAATAAATATACATTTTTTATACCCTCCACCATACTATGGAGGGTATATTAACTTTGTCATTCCGTTTGTAACTCCTCGAAATACTCATGTTAGACCCAACAAAGTATATATATATTCTTGATCAGCGTAAAATTCTTAGTCGATTTAGCCATGTCCGTCTGTCTGTCTGTCTGTTGTAATCATGCTATCTTTCGAACAAATTAAGATAGAAGGCTAAAATTTTGCACACCTGTTTATTTTTCCAGTAGGCATTCCCATTTAAGTTCGTAAATGGGCCATGTAGGTCCACGTTTTCATATAGCCCCCATATAACGGTGCCTCCCGATATTCGGCATTTTGACGATTTTAGCGACATTATTCACGGGAATTGTTTCAATTTTGGTATTTGAAATTCAATATGGATACTACAGCCTATGACAGAAGATTATCTAGGCAGGTCTACGTCTTCTTATAGCCCCCATATAACGGTATCTCCCTATATTCGGTATTTTGATGATTTTAGCGACATAATTCACCGAAAATGTTTCAAATTGGTGTTTGAGATTCGTAATGAATACTACAGCCTATGACAGAAAATTGTCTGTGCAGGTCCACGCCTTTGTATAGCTCCCATATAACGGTACCTCCCAAAATTCGGTATTTTGATGATTTTAACGCCATTATTCACCGGAAGTGTTTCAAATTTGGTATTTTAAGATCGAAATGGATAGTACAGCCTAAGGCAGTAAATTGTCGGTGCAGGTCCAAGTCTTCGTATAGCCCCCTTATAACGGTACCTCTCTATATTCGGTATTTTGATGATTTTAACGACATTATTCACCGGAATTGTTTTAAATTTGGTGTTTAAAGTTCGTAATGGATACTACAGCCTAAGACAGAAAACTGTCTGTTTAGGTCCACGACTTCGTATGGCCCCCATATGAAGGTACCTCTCGATAATCGGTATTTTGATGACTGTAGCTACATTATTCACCGATTTTTATACCCTCCACCATACTATGGAGGGTATATTAACTTTGTCATTCCGTTTGTAACTCCTCGATATACTCATGCCAGACCCAACAAAGTATATATATTCTTGATAAATTTAAAATTCTAAGTCCATTTAGCGATGTCCGTCTGATTTTAGTGAAATATTTTACCGGAATTACTTCAAATTTCGTATTCAAATTTCATTTGAAAAAAAATCCCGTATGCAGGTCCACACCTTCGTATAGCCCCCATTTAACGATGCCTCCCGACGTTCCGTTTTTTGATGATTTTAGCTATATTATTAACCGGAATTGTTTCAAATTTCGTAGATGAAGTTCGTAATTGGTATTACAATGTGTGTCAAAAAATTGTCTATGCAGGTCCACGTCTTCGTATAACCCCCATGCAACTGTAGCTCTAAATATGCGGTATTTTTACAATTTAAGACACATTTTTAAGCAAAATCGATTGAAAATCGGTATTTAGAATTCGTAATGGGTTCTATATTATGTGGCCGAACATTGTCAATAAAGCTCCACGTTTTCGTAATTTGAGACACATTTTTTAATAGAATTGTTTTAAAATACGGTACTTAGAGTTCAGAGATTTGAAACCCTGTTTTTCTATAGCCCCCATACCACGCGATACCCGGTAGTTTGACAATTTAAATCCCATTTTTTACAGAATTATTTAAAATTTGGTACTTAGAAGCCACTATGCTTCTACATCTTGTGGTGAAACACATACGTAAATATTTAGTTTATTAGAACTAAATGGCACCTCAGGATTTACGTGAATTGGTATACGTCTCAAATAACGATGCTGTCCGGTGTTTTGTATTATATAGTTTTGCCAAATTTTGAAACCAAGTCGGGCATCATTTAAAATGATACCTGCAACATTGAATCGCTCTAAAATTATATTATTTTGTAGAATTGTTATTACCAGGTAAACTAAATGTTTTTTTAAAATATCAATAATTAAATACAGGTAGTTCATAGATAATCTCTGTTTTGTGCAGCCTACCAGGTAATTGCTAGAGCACTTTTATTGGACGATTGCATTTACAGGATCTACCTGTCAAATGTTTGTTCATGTATTATTACCTGGATACAGCGTTATTGCTCAAAAATATATTGTCATATAATAGTTCTGTTTTGCTTCTATTGTTAGGTAAAAATAAAAGGCTTGTATATATTCGTATTGAATTTTTATTTTCTGTTTAGTATTAAACAGTTGCGCAGAAAGAAAACATATACGAATTTTAAACAGTGTCAAGTGTGTCATTTTGAAACAGTGTTGTGTGTCTTACATACTTTAATAGAGTTAAAATACATTATTACAAAGCGCTAAGTATACTATTTGTATAGATATTTCTATAAATATGCCTAGATTACGTAAACAATCATCTTTGCAACGCCAAAGGCTATCGACAAATCGTGTAAATGAATTCCGCGAACGCAATCCATCTGACAGGCTTAGAAATGCTATATCTATAGCAGCAAGGAGGCAAGATGTCAATTTCCGGGAAGAAGAACGGGAAAGAGATCGAGTTTCTCGCCAATTGAGGAGACATAACTCATTTAACCGAAGAGTTGAACAAATAGCTTGTCGTCAGGACGAAACATACAGATTGTCTGAGCAGCAGAGGAATACCGCACAACGCTCTGTTCGTCGGGAAGATGTTTCTCAAAGACAAGTTGAACGCGATAGAGATGCAATAAGCCATCGAGTGTATCGCCATGATGAAGTTTATAGACAGTTAGAGCGAGAGAGGGATGCGTTAAATCACGAAGTTCGCCGTCAGGACGAAGTATCTAGACAATTCGAACGAGAAAGAGATTCTCTAAACCACCAAGTTCGTTGGCAGAACGAAGGGTATAGAGAAATGGAGCGAGAGAGAGAGACGCATTCGGCGGCAGGATGAAGTTTATAGAGAATTAGAGCGTGAAAGAGACACTATAAACCATGAAGTTCGTCGACAGGGTGAGACGTACAGACGACTTGAGCAAGACAGGGATACTTTTCGTCGTTCCCAATGTAGACGTAATGAGAACTACAGACAAATAGAACGTGAAATGGACTCACAACGTCGCAATGTGCAAAGACGCGATATAACATATCGCACAATCGAACAAGTTCGTAACACTCAACAACGTCGCGAAGCGCGACAAAATGCTAGTCTTGAATCTCAAGAGCAGAATAGGATTAGAAATTGTCGTGTGCTAATCCATCGGATGAATCCTTACAATCGTGAGGAAGAAAATAACCATCAGTCCGAGAGAAATGCTGTCATTAGACAGAACCTTTCGCCAGAATCCCGCAGGGAAATGTTACAAGCAGACTCCATAAGACATAGGTCACGACAATTGCGCGAGTTCTACGAATTAATCAGAAAGGGCCCAACGGAAATTTGTATTTGCTGTGGAGGGCTATGGTTCATATCTCAAGTATGTTTTTCACTTTCAAGTAAAATCACATTGTTGCTTCAAATTTTCCATCTGAAAATAATATGTACAAATTTTGCAATACATGCTATAAAATCGCTCAGGGGGGGGGGGGAAATACCTTCAATTTGTCTTTCTAAAGGATTACATTTTCGAGAAATACCAACTGACCTTCGTGGTTTAACACAATTAGAAGAGCGTTTCGTTTCACCAAGAATTCCATTCATGAGAATCGTTTCCCTAGGATACAATCGCCAATGTGCTGTGAGAGGTGCTGTTACAGATACAACTGTAAACGTACTTCCGCGAGCAGTCAATCAAACTGAAGTTGTGCAGGTTCACATTAAACGTAGATTGCAATACGAACACAGTTTCATGACAGAAACCATAAGACCAGCAAAGATTTTCGAAGCCGCAAGATATCTAATAAATACAGAACTCTACAGAAAGCACAACATAGTTCTTTCTAATGAGTGGCTAAATAGCATGAATTGTACAGAAGAATGTCCCTTTGTTTCTAATGTGGAAGATTTAGAGTTTGTATCCCGATTAAGTAATACTAATTTCATACAGGATGATGTTGAAGAAGTAAATCCACAAGAACCATTATTAGACAATAATCCTGTCGAAAATGTACCATTGCAGAGAATTTCCATTGCTCCTGGTGAGGGACAACGACCATTAGACATGCTTTTGGATGAGGACTCTGAGGAACTGTCCTATCCTATAATATACTGCGGTGTAAAAAGAAATTGCAATGCTACAATTGGTAAAATTATTAAGTCCGAGGTTTGACGTTATGATAGACGGTGTGCACGCATTTACAAAGTATTATACTGCTATAAAAAATTAGAATTTTCCCGCATTAAAAATAGTATTTCAACATGTTTGAGAAAAAAAGTTGGAAATAGACAATTTACTGCCGCTGATATCTTACATGATCTACTTGTCCAAAACCTTGTGCAACATGACGACGGCTATCATATATTGAAAGGCGTACGATCTTCACCAGCTCATTGGGAGGGCGAAAAGAGAAAGGTTATGGCAATGATCAGGCAGTTTGGACTTCCGACATTTTTTATAACTTTATCCGCAGCTGAATCTCAATGGCCGGAATTAATTGTGATATTAGTAAAAATTTTGGAAGGAAAAAATATCACTGAAAAAGAGGCTATGTCTTACTCAACCCAGAAAAAGTATGATCTTATCCGAACAGATCCAATCACATTCTCTAGATATTTTGATCAGAGAATAAGGCACTTACTTAAATATTTCAGGTCCAATGACGGAATATTTAAGGAGCATTATGTTATTAAACATTACTGGAGGATAGAGTTTCAACAACGAGGATCTCCTCATCTCCATGGAATATTCTGGTTAAACAACGCGCCTCAATTAAACATTACTGACGATGCTACTTTCCCACCGGTGGCCGACTTCATTGACCGATTCATTTCTACTGATTCTTCTTCTACCGACATTCAAAATATTATAAACGGCCAACGCCACAACCACACCAAGACTTGTCAACGTGAGATTAGATGTAAACAATTTTGCCGCTTTCACATTCCTAATCCTCCAATGCCTGAAATACAAATATTGCTTCCACTTTCGGAAGATATCGATTTAGATTAACTAAACTTACATAAGGAAAACTTCGCTAAGATAAGTACTTTGCTTAACGCAAATTTATCAAATGATGAACTAGAAGGTCTTCATACGTTCGAACAATTTTTATCTCACAGATGTATTAACTTAAAAAGAACGGCATATTTTATGGCTTTAAGGTCATCAATTAAAAAACCTCAAAATTTTCTTAAAAAGAACATTTAGGGATAGAGCAATAAATGCATTCAATTCAGATATTTTAGCAATGCAAAATTCTAATATGGATATTCAGTTTGTCTTAGATGCATATGCTTGTGTGTCATACATCGTTAATTATATTAACAAATCGAACAGGGGAGTTTCGAAACTGATGCAAGAAGCTATGGCTGAAATTAGAGATGACAATTATTCAGTAAAAGACAGGCTGCAACATATTGGAAATAAGTTCATTAGCGCATCTGAAGTATCAGCTCAAGAGGCATCGTATAATATATTGGGCATGAATTTATCACAATGTAGTAGTGCGGAAGTATTTATCAATACGTTTGTTCCAGAGAAACGTGTTCGTATGATAAAGTCGAAGCAAGACCTACAAAATCTCAAAAGGGATTCAACTAATATATTTAAGGCAAACATACTTGATCGTTATATCCAACGACCCGATATATTTGAAAATATGTGTTTGGCATACTTCGGTGCATACTACAGCTTTTCCCGGCATTTAGAAAAATCTCGTCATCAAGAAGAAGAGGATGATTTCGTTGAGAACGATGATACCAATTTGGATCAAGTCGGTGCTCCCATACGACTAAAAAATAATTCAGGATACGTCTACAAACGGAAAGCACCCGCAATAATAAGATTTCCTTCTTTCAAACTTGAAACAAATAAGGAGGACTACATCCGATCATTGGTAATGCTTTATTTGCCATGGAGAAATGAAATCGAAGACTTACTACAGAATGACAATGAAAATACTTGTTTCACCCACAAACGCACCATTGAAGAAAATCGATTACAATTTGAATTATTTAAGGAAGGAGAACTTGATGAAAAATTGTTACAAGTCCAAGATGAAAATAACGCCGTAATCAATGATTCTGTTGATAACATGTTAGCGTCTCGCATGCTTGATGACGAGTTTCTTGCACTGGCAATCCCCGAAATTGATAATAATATCAATATTTTCGAAGTTGATAACAATAATGACTCGGATACTAACGATAACATCAGATTTATAAAGTTACCTCCATTCGTTAGTGAAAAAGATCTTCTTGCAGACACAAGGTCCCTAAATGCTAAACAACGTGATTACTTGCATCATACTTTGCATAATGTTGTGAACAAAAAAACATTCTATGAATACATCGGAGGTGGTGCTGGTGTCGGCAAAAGCCGTTTAATTAGAGCAATTTACCAATCTGTCACTCATAGACTTAATTCTATTCCTGAAAGTAATCCGGAAATGCCTAAAGTTCTACTAACTGCACCAACTGGGAAAGCTGCATTTGGTATTGGGGGATCAACGCTACATGCTCTGTTCTCCCTGCCGGTAAACCAATATTCGGGAGAACTTCGGCCACTTGGTTAACTCAATAATGTCAAAATTAATTAATGTAAATTTAATAATTATTGACGAAATATCAATGGTAGGATCCAGAATGCTAGGTCACTTGGATGCTCGATTGAAACAAATATTTAAGAGCACTAATCCATTCGGTGGCATTTCAATTATTGCGTTTGGTGATTTCAAACAACTTCCACTTGTTGGCGATAGATGGATTTTTAGTGAGAATACTTATAATCCTTACGGAATAATTGTTGGATCTAAGTTGTGGGATCTTTTCCAATTTTAAGAGTTGACCGAAATAATGCGTCAAAGGGAAGATTTGAGGTTTGCGCAGGCGCTTAGTAGAATGTCCAATGGGGAAATGACGGCTGAAGATGTGGATATCTTTAAGGCAAGAGTCATTCGTGACGTGAACGATGTTCCGATGGAAACCATTCATTTGTTTCTATCTTATGAGGAGGTTGAAAACTATAAAATTTTAAAATTAAACCAAATAGCTTCTGAAGCTTTCTTTTCAAGACGTAATAAAATGCAATACTTTGAATCCTGATCAAAGAATAAATATTTTAAACAATGTTACAAAATTTAAGACATCCCAGACACAAGGTCTTTGTTTTCAGTTACATTTGAAAAAAATCGCAAAGTACATGATTACAATAAATATTAACACCGCCGATGGTTTAGTAAATGGCGCAACAGGAGTTTTAATGAGTATTGATTTCGAACGTGGTTCATCAAATCCAAAGACAGTTTGGTTAAAGTTTTCAGATGAAAATGTTGGAAGGGAAGCACGGCGAAAAAAGCCACACAGTACAGAACCATCCTGGACTCCAATTGAAAAGTGTACCAGATCATTTCAGTTCAAACGAAATGAACAAATTTCAATAGAACGTCGCCAATTTCCTTTGGTCGTGGCCGAAGCTATAACTGTTCACAAAAGTCAAGGTGTCACTTACGCAAATGTTGCGGTGCACACTCGTAGCCGAATGGCCAGAGCAGCTCTTTATGTTGCATGCAGTCGTGCAACAAATGCGTCTGGGTTGTTCATATTTGGTTCCTTCAACCCTCCCAAAGCTTTTCAAAACTCAGATCCAGTAAAATTAGAATTGGAAAATTTAAATAACAACAAAAAATTAAAACTAAATTTTGATTTTATGAAATTGGAAGAGAAAGACATTAAAATATTTTTCCAAAACATTCAAAGTTTCCGCGCCAATAAAGAAGATATCAATACAGACTACAATCTCATTAATTCCAACTTCCTTTGTTTTGTTGAAACATGGACTTTTCCAGGAGAATCCTGCAGCATAATGGAGTTCTCTGAAGTAAGCAGAATTGACTGCGTAAAAAGTGCCCAAGAAAATACGAGGAATAAAAGTGGAATAATAATATTCAGCCGATCTAATATTGTAAATGACGTAAGAATTATCTTGAAAAGAGATTATAGTCAGGGAACTCAGACTCTTCAAATTATTGCTTTTAAATACCTTTCGACAATTGCTATTGGAGTCTCTGAATGAAATTGATTGGCAACAAGACCAAAAAATAATAATTATTGGTGACTTCAATATATGCAGGCGAAGCACAACAGATACACTATTATGTACGAAAGGAATTCTTTCCCTTTTAGACAGAAATGTGCACACAACAAAGCATGAAACTCAAATAGATTGGGCTTTCTCTAATATACCACATGGTGATATTATTTGTAAGACTTATCCAACTGCACATAGCCATCATGACGGTATAATAATCGCGATGTAGGCAAAGTTCTAAAGGCGAGTGTCAAATTGAATTCAAATATAGATTAATAGTAAAGAAATACTCAATTTTATTTTTCCTAAAATAAATCAAAATTACGTATATACTTTTATGCAAGATCATAAAAATGTATTACTTCGAAATAGAAAATACGTATTGAGTAGCAAACTTATATTACATTCGGTTTATGTTAATTTGTACATTTTATTTAAAATAAAATGCTATACAACAATTAACATATTCTACTCCTCTTAGGAATAAGCCTTGGCGTGGCGGTGGAGCTAAGTACTTTCATAATTGAGAGGCAACTAATTATTCCATTTGGTTTAATATCCTTCTTGGTGGAGGGTATTAAAAGTTCGGCCCGGCCGAACTTACTGCTTTTTTACTTGTCCTAATTTTATTTTGATTTTTTTCTTTGGAAAATTTTGTTGTTGTTTAACTTTAGAGTGCATTTTACAGTCGGTTGTCGCCAATTCAATTTCTTTATACTTTTTTGGCTTTGAGCGTTTTTTTTTTCGTTCGGTCCCAACTCCACTCTTACCCGCCCTGCCGACCGAGGGGGCCACCTCCCAATACGTAGGGAGCGCGTACACCCCATAGTCCGCACCATGGAGGGTTAGTATGGAAGGTGTTGATATGAAAGGTATAAAAAGCAAAATAAAAACACAAATGATTAGTTTTCAATCCAAATAAGTTTGCTGGTTTATTGAATTCAGATTTTGTTTTCTTTTCTACAAATAATTACCTTTTGGTATGTGAAATGGCGACAGAGGCCTTGATGCTTAAGCTTTCGATACTCAAAGACAAGTGAACGCAGAGGTTCTAAGTGATCGCAGAGGATCCCTTGTCTATT